ATCCTGGAATCAACACTCTCAGGGTTGCAGGGAATGTATACACAAGTAAATCTGCATATATTTGAATTTTGCCCAAGGGGAATTCATGGTTGGAGGAAAATAAGTGAATTATATTTGAAGTAGGTTGGAAGAAATAAGGTACATGCACAAATGAGGTCTAGGAAGCATGAAAGATTGGTCAGATTTTTCATTTGAAACCCTTTATGATAAGACTTGGAAGAAGAATCATGATTGAAATCATAAATTTAAACATTCATCAGTATTAATAAAGCTGTGCAAATTAATAATTCATAGGAGAGATGTGCCACTGTAAAATGAACCATTAGATTTATTGATTACTTTTATCTTTTACAACCTTAAGCAAACATGTAGATATATACTGAAAAGAAGCCACCAAGAAGAATGAACAGAGGAGAGAAATGTAAGGAAATGTTCTCTCTCAAATTAATAAAGGAGTATTATTTTTTTTATAGTGGAAAATTTTGTCTACAACACGTCCAAAACCACATAACTACCTTATTTCTAGATAGTCATGGGTAACTAAGGCTTTTCCCTCTTCTCTATTTAAAAGGTATCTCTTTTTAGCAAAACTGGGAGGTAAGTGAAATTTATTTGTATCCCACTGTGTTTTCTGTTTCTCTCCAACTTCCTCCAGACCACCTTCCAATTCCCCTCCTCCCTTAGGCTGAGGTGTTGAGCACTTTTATCATCTTCTAATTTATCCTGCCAAAGTGAAAAATAATTTGATAAATTTCTTCATGTTAGGGTATTAGGAAATTAATTATCTATAGATCTCATGAGTATTTGCATTTTAAAGGAAAGTTACAGAGAAAGGACAATGCCTGGCCATCATAAATTACTCATTAATTATGGAATCTCAGACACCTGTGGGAAGATATTTAAAAGTGATGAGAACTAGAGAATGCTCTCAAATCATACAATGGATACAATGATCTTGTCTGTCTGGATGGGCAGGAGATTGAGACAAATTATATATTTGAAGACAACCATTATACCTTCTGAGCCTTAAGAGAGGCTTAAAAATGTCTTGGTAGGAGGGCACCTGGGTGGTTCAGTAGGTTAAGTCTCTGACTTGATTTCACCTCAGGTCCTGATCTCAGGGTTGTGAGACCAAGCTTGTGTTATGCTCCGCGCAGGGCATGGAGTCTGCTTAAGATTCCCTCTCTCCCTCTCTCTCTGCACATTCTCCTCCCATAGAAAAATCTGGGTACACGATAAGTCTTATTAATACTTTTTAAATAAATAAATGATTATACTATTTGTTTTACCTCCAGTAAAATTTTAAAGAAATTCTTTGGAGAAATAAGAATAAAGCAGAAATCTCTGATCTCTGTGCTGTGATCCCGAAGCCTTTGCTTTAACTTTGGCAGAAAAGTAGTGCCTAGCAAATATTTCATTTATTCAGGAATATTTCCCTGGCCCCCTACAAGGAGGGCTGTGTGAATATTCTGGCCAATGAAATGGGGGCAGAAATGGTGTGTGTCACTTCTAAGCTGAGACAGTAAAGAGTTCATGATTTTGCAAGGTCTCTGTTCTATGACTGAGCAGTTGTCAGTTCAAAAGAGCACAACCGTAAGATGATGGGATGTCTATAAGCCAGGGTCTCTGAATGTAGGCTGCTGAGATTTTGAGGTTGTTTGTAGTTGTAGCACAGCCTAGCTAGTCCAGACCATTACGGCATTTACCATATTGCTTTATGGTTCCTTTGTTACATATCTACTATCCCACCTTAACTAGTTAATCCTTACTCATTTTTGTAGCTTTGTTGTAAAATGACACATAGTGGGAGAAACCATAATGATATAAGAGTATTTTTTGAAAAGTTAAAGATCAGACGGTAAATTTAAGACAGTTAAGTGTGGGGACAAGATTAGTATAATTTAATTCAATTCAATGCATCTACTGAGCAATAAAAGTCTGTGGTATGCTCTGCACTGTCAATACAAATATGAGTTGGTAATATTATCAATGATATTATTAATGATTACAAATAAGATGATATTAATAGTTATAAACAACATTAATGGTGGTTTTAATTGCCTAAATAAATATAATATGAGATAATAGAAAATATATATTGGTCTCTGTCCCCGGTTCTTGACACAAAGCTCCTAAAACTCTTGTAATTTCCTAAGTAATAAGAACCGTAGAGCATCTCTTGTTCTAATATAATGCTTGTCTTTGACTCCATCCCTGATACAGGTCTCCTAAAACCCTTGTAAATTCCTAAGTGATAAGAGCACTAGGAGTATCTTTTGTTCTAATGAGACAACTCTTGGTGGGCTCCTGGATGGTTCCTAGAGGGGGGCTGTTCACTAGAAAGACCAAGCAATGATTAGAAGCTTGAAATTCTCAGCCTTGCCCCTCAATCCCCAGAGAGGGGAGAGGGGCTAGAAATGGGAGTTAATGATTGATCATGTCTATGTGAGGAAGCCTCCATAAAATTCCAATAGTACAGGGTTCAGAGAGCATCCAGGTTGGCAAACACAACCACACTGGAAGGGTAAAGCCCCTCAACTCCATAGGGACAGAAGCTCCTGGGGTCAGGATCCTCCCAGACCTTGCCCTATGTACCTCTTCATCTGGATGTTCATTTATACCCTTTATCATATCCTTTAATAAAGTGGTAAATTTAAGTGTATCCCTGAGTTCTGTGAGCCTCTCTAGCAAATTAATTGAACGCAAGGAGGAGGTCATTGGGATTTTAGATCTATAGCTGGTTGGTTCAGAAACATAGGTAATAACCCAAGCTTGCTACTGGCATCTGAAGGGTTTAGGTGTGGAAGGTTGGGGAATAGGTAACCTTATGGGACTGAGCCCTTAACCGAGGGGATCTGACACTATCTCAAGGTAGATGGAGTCAGAATTGTATTAAATTGTAGGACACCCAAGTGGTGTCCCAGAGAATTGCTAGGTATGGGGAGAAACCTCCACATATTTGGTGACCAGAGTGAAGTGTCTTGTGTGAACAGCAAAGGAGACTCTCAAGGAATAAATGCACAATCAGGAAGAACAGGTTTTTTTCCCTACACAGGAAGAGGAAAAAATTGAGTTTTTCCTTTACAAATGTATTAAGTGAGTACTTGATAATAATTTATTTCAGGTTTAACAACATCAAGAGATGACAGGATAAATACCTAGAGGTTTGGTTTTCAGAATGGATGTCAAAGCAAGAGTGATCTCAATCTCCTAAATTTGCCAAATTCTAAAATGTGAAAATAACTTATACTTTAAGTAATATTGCCAAATACTTTTATAGAGAATTACACTTTCCCAGCTATCTTACACCCATTATCTCGACTGATCCCCATAACAGCCTCTTGAGTTAGACAGATCTAACACTAATAATTTACTGATTCTTTGTACATGGAACCTGAGGCTACAAAATATTGACATGGCTTATCCATGGTCACACAGTGACAACTGGTAAAGCAAACACTAAGCAGTTCTGGTAAAAGGGTTTAAGAGAAATTTTCTGTGACATGTATATAAATGAGCTCAAGGTAAGTTTATTGTCCATTTTAATAGCCAGGCTTTTTATATTAACCATCTCTCCCCCATCTATTATAATAAGTATATAAAATACAAGTCTATACATTAAAACATCTATCCAGTCATAATCAGTTCCTAAGAATTTCCCATTTTCCCCACATAATGAAGATTTAATAACAGCATTATAATTTTTTTAGCATTATAATTTTTTAACATTGGTCAAGAACATGACATTCCATATAAAATGGAAAGACCATTTCCTTCTTTAATGAAGGAAGGAAAGAAGCAAAGAAGAGGGGGGGAGGGAGGAAAGGGAAGTGGGAGGGAAAGAAGAAGGAAGGAAAAAAGGAAGGAAGAAAGGAAAGAAAGGAGGAAGGGAGGAAGGGAAATAGATTTTTTTGTGTGAATAAGAGACAAGACATTTGATAGAAACTCCATTCAACCATGACATAACATGGCAATTAATTTAGCTGGACATTTTGCTTCACATTTTGCACATATTTTCCATCTCCATTTTTATTTATTCATATTGAAATGACTTTAGTTTAGTACCATCTGCTAACTTAGCACCAAGTAAGATGTAATTAACCCCTCAAAATCATCATCCAAGATATTTAGATATTTAGATAGACCTAATTCCAATCCCAGGATGATCAGAGCATAGCTTTAGTCCATCTGCAAGTCATCTGATAAAAGTCAAATAAACTTAGTCCATAATTCTCCCACTCCTTACCTAATGGTAGCAAGTAGTATAATAGCAGATATGATTGTTTAAAGATCATCATCGTTAGAGAACTGTTTTATTCCTATTAAAAGAATGGGTGATGTTTTTACACTCTTTCTAGTGGGCTAGCATCTTCGTACTTTCTTTTCGCTTTAGAAAAGGAGTCATTAGAGATGCCAGTGAATTCATTAGCTAATTCTCTCCAGGTCTCAAGGTCTGTATTTCCCAAGCTAGAAACTTCTATACATATCCATTTTTCCAAGCACTTCAGCCCCTTGCCTTTTTAATCAATAGGCCATATTGACAAAATTCTAATTATTCCTAAATGTGCACACCTGTTTTGCTTTTCCTTATTTTGCTGTAAAGAACAAATCAGCCCATTGGTTTAATAGTTTGCTTTGCTCCATTCTCTTTGAACTTCAGCTTTCTCCTCTCAGACAGAGGGGTCTTACTTATTGATTCATTTAAAAAAATTTTTAAATCAAAGAGTAAAATAAAATATTCAGCTCTGTTAATAATATGCAAAGATTTAAAAGATTGTATAATTAGCTTGCAAAAAAGTGTTGTTATTTTAAGCAAACTCAACAATGTACATTGAAAAAGGCATTTCAAAATTATAATCATGCATGAAAAGTCCAGCAACTAACCAGTGTTATCTAAATGTGTCTGACACTCAATGCTCCTTCATGCAAATAATAAAACCTTCACTTTTGTGACCTCCTAAGCAATGCTGATCCATTCAGCCTGCTAAGAAGTCAAAGGCTTAACCATCTTCCTGCCCCACAATTTCACCAAGTTTATAATCTATGTGAAAAGATCCCAGGGATTCTGCCCAAATTAACTTACTATTGGGTATTTACACTCTCATTTTTCTCATACTTTTATTTTCCTGGTGTAATTGAGATGTAATAAACGTAAGACACGTTGCAAAAGAAAAGCAGGTGAATAAATACTCCCAAATCCAGTTCAAAGAGACTTCCTTTCATCCCAGCCTCCTGGTAAGGAAATAGATTAGATCCACATTTTTTGAACTCTCTCTGTCTAAATTGATAATACTTAGAAGGGATGTGGCATACCCAGCTACAGACTATTAGTTTAAGAAGACCCAAATAGATTTAAAAGGCAGCAAGTTTTAAGTTAAAATAAACACATGCACACTTTCTCCAAAAACTAATGGCACTATGGATGGAAGAAAGCAGATGGAATGGCTCCAGTTGTATGATTCTACAGTTTTAAATCCCAAAACATCACAAACTATTAAGCAAATATTTAGGGCACACAAAAGAGTAGAGTCATGAAACAAGTAGCACATCACTTACTGAGAAGCTTAACCTTAGTTTTCTGAATTTTGGAAATGGTTTCCTGCCCTCATTTTGGATGACATTATTTTCCCAAATACAAAGGCTGAAAAGAATAAGAAATAAGAAACATAAAAGTACTTACAACTGATCGGATGTTATTTTCTTTCATCAGCTTCAGAGATGATTTGTAGCAATTTGCAAGGTCTTCCTTATGGGAACCATTAATATGGCCTCTGGCTATTGGTCCTACAGTATGGATGACATCTGCACATGCAAAAGGAAGGAGAAATAGCATAAGTAAGGTATTTTTCACTTTTCACGTAATTGGTGCTTTATTTATTGTAGGTGTTTGTGTTGGAGCCTGGAGATGAGCAAGCTAAGAATTATTGATGATGCAAATGCTTCTCTGGTAAAAAGATTTTATATAGCACAGCCTCTTAAAGTAGGCAGTTGCCCAGGAAGGTGATAATTGTGGAAGGGCATCCCCTACCAGTAAATTATTTCACTGTTGTTGGTCAGATCCAAGTGAGACAGATTATAATACAAGATGTGAATATTTGGCCCCCTCACAAAAGACAAATCCTTGGTGGGAAATAAACAGAAATAATTGCCTGCAAAATGAGTGTTCTGGATTGACAAGGGAAGAAGAACCAAAGTTTCACATCACTTTACTTATAAATAAGACAATAGTTTCAGGCATTGTACACAATAAAAAAGGGCAAATTTCTGAAAATGTGCCAAGATAATTTGTAACAATCAGTAATAGCCTTAAAAGGAATAACTTTAAAACATCTCTACCAATTTTAATTTGCAACCTACCAAGCCTCACATATATGAGGTATGCTAGGCATAATAGTCCCCAATAAGTACCTAGCTTCTATTGTTTACTATATTAAAACTTTCAAAAAGCAATCCATACTTTCAGCCTCTGTATTTAAAACATAGAATTAGATTTTTTTTCACTTAAAACCAGTCATTGTTGTATTTTTTTAATACCTACACACACATAAATTTTTTCACTTAGGAACATAATGAAATGAAACTGTTCTAGTTTTAAAGTCTGTAAGGATCATAAGAAAGAACTCAGATTATAAACCAAATCACCTGAATGCCTTATAACGTCTGTTCTCCAGTCTTTGCTAATCCAGATTAGCAAATCTGGATTATTTGCCCATCTCATTGATGTAAGTAACAACAACTAATCATCTTTGATCAGAAAGACAAATTCGGTTTAATATTACTGGAATATTATAATGAAATGAAATTATTTCCTTTAGCCAATCAGTACCACTTCATTTCAACAACAATGACAAGATAAGAACACATCACAAAAGTGAGACTATGGAACAGTCTTAAATTGCATAGGAAATTTAAATAGCAGAAACTAAGTCACTAAGGGTAAAATCTTTGTTGTTTGCCTGCTAAATACTGAGGGTATCATTTGATGTTTGAGAAATCCCCAAAATGTTGATTTCAACTTTTAACTCTGAAACAGTATTAAAACCCTTGTCAGGGGGCGCCTGGGTGGCTCAGTTGTTAAGCATCTGCCCTCGACTCAGGTCATGATCCCAGGGGCTTGGAATCGAGCCCCCCATCGGGCTCCCTGCTCTGTGGGAAGCCTGCTTCTCCCTCTCCCACTGCCCTCTGCTTGTGTTCCCTCTCTGGCTGCCTCTCTCTGTCAAATAAATAAATAAAATCTTTAAAAACAAACAAACAAACAAACAAGCAAACAAAAAAACCCTGGTCAGATAATATGAAAGATGATATCTTGTGATCAAAATAGGCAGAAATGTCACAGAGAGTTCATGCAGATGTTCTTGCACCGGCACCTAGCTTTAAAGTGAGAACTGCAATAACACAGGAGAGGACAAAGGGAGACTATATTCAGCAAAACCAAAAACAAAACAAAAAACCAACCAAACAAAAAACCCCAGCACATAGTGATATTATTTTTTACAATAAGAGTAACAAATAAGAGCTGTATCTATTGAAGCAATACAAGGTCTCTACGAGATGTAGTGAATTTTTATATGAATATTTCACAATAGCTTCTGTTTTGAAGCGAATGCCAGAATATGAGAAGAAGGAAGGCTGTACTTAGCTTTATTTCATTTTCCCCTTTGTGACTACTTGTTTGTGCCCAGCTATGATATTCTAAATCCCCCAATGAATCCAAAGGGAGAGAAACTGTAGAGTAACAACAAAGGATTCTAGAGAACAGCATTTCCCAAAAGTGGGTACAGTAAGATGTGGGTTTAAAGGTCAATTACATTTGGGAATCACTGAGTGAAATTAAGTCAAAATAGCTACCTTAGTGCAGGACTTTCAGGACATTTAGTATGCAACAATGGATTATGAATCTCAACAAGAGGGGATACAGAATGGAATACATCGAAAACTATGTTTTACAGAATACTTCAAGGGACTAAATTTCCACAAATTTAGCTTTGGGAAATGTTATGCCAGGACAACTCTGGCACCCAGACTGCCATTGTTGAAGGACAAGTCCATGGTTTTTGTTTTGTTTTGTTTTGTTTTCCCCTTCTTCCCAACTGCCTCTGTACATCAAATAATACGTAAAGAAGCAACAAGGTATGACCTTGGATTCCTTATTTTATGGATGGAGAACGTCAAGAATAAATGCCTCTTATCTGGGGTCATAAAGCTGTGTCTACTTGAGCCAAGTAAAAACAGGGCACAGGGGCATTAATGGGAAGGGGAAAGAGAGAGAGAGTCCACAAAAGGAAAAAAAATAGTGACATTTAAAAAATCCTTTTCTTTACTTTTCCCTGTAGACATCATTGTCCACATAACTTAAATGGAATTTATGAAAAACTATTCCTTCCATTTCTTCAGTTCTCCATTTAATTTAAAAGTCTGAGGACAAACAGCCAATCAATGAGCCTCCTCCTCAACATCAAAACATTGATCTCTGTGTTTTATGCTCTATATTAAACTTACAACACACAAGACCAAGTGTTATTATCGACCAACACGATGACCTCTCAAATCAACAAAGCTGAAGGTGAATCGATGTGAGGCCCAAAAGAAAATTTCCTTCATTATTTTAATTGTTCATAGCACATAGGAGTGATTCTTTCACACTGAAGAGTTCCTCTTTCCTGCTATAAAACTCAGTCAGGAAGTCGGCCTTCCAATTCCAGCTTCAGCCCTGAGTTGCCAAGTAGCCCAGATGAAGCCATCTATTCACTAGCCCCTGCCTTGGTTTCCTTATCCACAAAACAAATCAGCTGCTTAGATGATCTCTGTGGTTTATTCAGTGATGTGTGGCATCATTAACATTTACCTTTGTATCAGAGACAGAGGGAGTACAAAACGATGCCTGGGCAGTTACAAGAGACCTTAAACAAGTGGCTTGCATGCTTTATGAGTATTAAGGTTCCCTTCTTAATATCAGAAATATCATACACAACTCTTTCACAATAGTAGTTTCAAAATCCATTGATTGACAAAAAGTTCCAGACAAATAGCTGTTATAACATCAGTGATGCTTTGCACTAATTTACATTTTGTTGGACACAATAGCACCTTGATAGTGGATACATATATGTGAGATATATCCCTAGATAATGCTTTCACTTGGACATGCACTTGTGGATCCCTTGGTATAAATAGGATAATGTAAACAGAACAATTCGATTCTGGTGCATACAGAGGCTCAATAACCACCACCACCAGCAGCAGCAACATCCAAGACACCTTCTACACACAGGCAGAAATGACAGTCATCATCTCTGTTCTGATGTGGAAAGCATAGCATACCACACTTTAATTTTATTTATTTATTTATTTTTTAGATTTTATTTATTTATTTGACAGAGAGAGACACAGCGAGAGCAGGAACACAAGCAGGGGGAGTGGGAGAGGGAGAAGCAGGCTTCCTGCTGAGCAGGGAGCCTGATGTGGGACTCGACCCCAGGACCCTGGGATCATGACCTGAGCCGAAGGCAGACGCTTAACGACTGAGCCACCCAGGCGCCCGCATACCACACTTTAAATCCTAAGGTCTGATTAAAAGTCAGAAGTCCCAAGGGGAGGAGCAAGATGGCGGAGGAGTAGGAGACCTAAATTTCTTCTGGTCCCAGGAATTCAGCTAGATAGGGATCAAACCATTCTGAACACCTACAAACTCAACAGGAGATCAAAGAAAAGAATAACAGCAACTCTCTGAACAGAAAATCGACCACTTTCTGAAAGGTAGGAAGTGCGGAGAAGTGAATCTAAGGCAATACTCGGGAAGACAGACGGAGGAGGCCTCCGACAGAAGCTACTGGCAAGTGATAGAACCGCGGAGCACAAAATCAGAATTTTTAGAAGTTGGCTCCACTGAGGATGTCGCTCCAGTGGCTAAGCGGGGGGTGGAACACTCCCTGGAACAGTGTGGTCTCAGGACCCTCGAGGTCACAGGAATACCATTGGTGCCTGAGTGCGGCAGAGCTCCCAGGTATCGGGGTGGGGAAACCGGCTGCAGAGACGGAGCCAAGGCGCCGGATCTCAGCTCGGGGTTGCCGTAAACTGTGATCCAAAGCAGACGGGCCACTGCTCCTCCAGCAGGGACCCAACAAGTGGCAGAGCCGGGGAGACTTACCTTCCTCCCCGGGGAGGAGCAGCGCGGGAGCACACTGCAGGGATCTGCTGGGTTTGGAGATTCCAGATGGTGTCGGGTGCCAGAGATAGAAATGCTCGGTCACAGGCCGGGTGAGCACGGAGTGCGGCCGGAGACCAGGGAGACGGGAGTGACTGCCTGCTTTTCTCTGAGGGCGCACTGAGGAGCGGCGTCCCGAGTTCTCGGCTCCTCAGGGGAGGAGATTGGGAGGCCACCATTTTCACCCTGGTCCTCCAAAGCTGTACGGAAAGCTCGCAGGGAACAAAAGCTCCTGAGAGCAAACCTGAGCAGATTGCTTAACCTGGACCGGCAAGGGTGGGGCAATTCCGCCTCCGGCAAAGACATTTGGAACCACGGCAACAGGCCCCTCCCCCCAAAGATCAGCCAGAACAGCCAGCCAAGACCAAGTTTACTGATCAATGGGAATGGCTGAACGCCAGTGCTAGGGGAATCCTGCACATAGAACTCATGGCCCTTTTCCCATGATTCTTTAGTCTTTCAAAGTTATCTTTTTTAACTTTCTTTTTCTTTTTTTTAATTTTTCTTTTTCCCATTTTCAATCAACATCTTATCAATCCCTTTTTTTAAAAATCTTTTTTATTTTTCATTTTTAGAGTCATATTCTATTCCTTCATAG